ACTCTAGCTACAAAGAACCAAGAGTCTTGGCTTTATCTTCCTATCAGTCTGCTAAGCTTTGGTTTTTTGAGATGGGTCTCACTAGGTTTCTGGCAATCTTCCTGTCTCAGTGTGAACTGCCTGCCTACCCTGCTGTGGTAACAAATCACAGTCCACAGACTCCCATCTCACAGATCAGAATCAAAGGCACGGGGCAAGTTTTCCTTTCTTCAGGAGAGTATAGAGGCTACAGTCTTGTCTTCTTCAGTGGTGGTGGCTGCCTGAGGTCCTTGGCTTGGGGCCCCATTCTTTCAGGTGCAAAGCCAGAGGGCTCTGCTGAGTTTCTCATCCTGCAACACTCTCAAACTCCCTCCCTCACCTCCCCTTTCCACATTTAACAGTCCTCGTGATTACTCTAGGATCTCCTGGGTAATCCAGAGTAATCACCCTGGGCATCTGTAACCTTAGTTCCCCTTGCCATTGGTTGTTAACCATCCTCATGGGCTGTTTTATTATGTGGCTCAGGATGACCTGAACTTACCATCTTCCTGTCTAGCTTGGGATTCATTCACCATGCCTGAAAGAGTATGCACTACTTTTATAAGATTAACTGTACACAACAGACACCATTTTAATAAAGAAATTTGATACTTATAATGGGAAATGCAATGTTCCAAGGCCCAACAGTCTACAAGTGGAATATTCCAGAAGAGCTGGCTATCAAGAGAACCTACAAGTGGGGCTATCACATTAGACAAAGGGTGGATTTCCAGTTATGGAGGAAAAGGACAGCTCGCAAGAGGAGGTTGCAGAAGTTACTGCCAATCAGAGACTTGATTTTCATCCATTCAATATATACCAAACATCAAATATGGGTCTAAGATAAAAACCTGAAAGAAATTAATAGTGTAGAAAACTATATAGGGAAATATATTTGCACCCCTGGGGTTACAAGGCTTCCTTACATCCCAGTTCACAAAGCAAATCTTGGTAATGTTAACATAAAATGAAAATATAGGCAAGGGACTGAGGGAAGAAATGATTATC